GGACTTGAGCAGACTGCACCTGAGTCCAGAGTAGCGACGTCCTGCACCTCTTCCTTGGCTTGCAAGACCTCTGTTATTAGAATAAGCGCTTCTGGGAGATGTGCCCCCATGACCATGTCTGACAGTGTGATGGGCACACCAGGAGTCCAGTCAGATTCAACAGTTCAGCTTTGCTCAGGAGAAGGTCTTGTATGACCTGACCCAAACACCTGAGACAAAGATGCAAACTGAATTTGGTTCTGAAATTTCCAGAGAAGCAAGAAATTCATCCTTAAAATTCAAATGTAAAATTTGGCAGCAAATTCAATTTTTAAAAAAATACACTTCGTAAGCCAAAGAAAACATATCTGGAGGCTGCATCAGCTGCCCATTTGCAACCTCAGATATTGGTGATCTGCATTCGGAGGAATGAGCTCCCTCAGAAGAATTTTAAGCAGAAAAAGCCATGATCTGTTAACTGTCAACCTCCCCAAAAAAATCACCGGAAAAAAAACCTGTTGATCAAGCAAAGTTCAGTTTGTCGGACTTACTGCAGTCAGGAAGAACAACATGGTGGCAGAATCTTGGTAGAATCTCAAAATGGGGAAAGGAAGGGAGGATATGTATAGTGTTAGGGTCTAAGCCGGGCGTTTTAAAGGCGTGTCTCACAAAGCAGAGCCTTGGGTGAAGCTGAGTAAAGTTGATTACCCAAAAGCTTTGACTTGTAGGCATAGTGAGGGCCATAAATGAGCTTTGCTGAAGGAGCTGCTGGGTTGGATAAGTCAGCTATTTTAGTGACTTTCCAGTCTTATCTTCTACAAGCAGGTATCTATTTCTTTGTGTTTTTTTTTTTTTCTTCTTTTTACTGTGGTCAAAATATACATAATACAGAATTTACCATTTTCATCATTCTTAAGTGTACAGTTCGGTGGTATTAAGTACATTCACATTGTTGTACAGCCATAACCACCACCCAGTTCCAGAACGTATCTTCCCAAACTGAAACTGTCCCCATTAAGCAACAATGCCCCATTTCTCCCTCCACTACCCCCTGGCAACAACCATTCTCCTTTCTGCCTCTATGAATGCATGCTAGGTTAGCTGATATCAGTGGACAAACATAATCCTCTCTCTCCATGGCAAGCAGTTCTGGGACTGGGTTTCTTTTCTTGACGCCATGTGTGTGTGTTTTTTTTTTTTTTTTTTTTTTTGAGACGGAGTCTCGCTCTGTCGCCCAGGCTGGAGTGCAGTGGCCGGATCTCAGCTCACTGCAAGCTCCGCCTCCCGGATTCACGCCATTCTCCTGCCTCAGCCTCCCGAGTAGCTGGGACTACAGGCACCGCCACCGCGCCCGGCTAGTTTTTTGTATTTTTAGTAGAGACGGGGTTTCACCATGTTAGCCAGGATGGTCTCGATCTCCTGACCTCGTGATCCACCCGCCTCGGGCTCCCAAAGTGCTGGGATTACAGGCTTGAGCCAGACGCCATGTTAAACAATGTGTTGACTCCCGTGTTAGATCAGACCATGTTTTGGGAAGGTCCCTCTGGCTGCAGTGTGTGGATGCTGCTCTCTGGAACAGTTCTCCCAACGCAAGCCATTTTTAAAGGGTCCAGTGATCCCCTTCCCATCCACAGTTCAAGCAAAACTGTGTCATTTCTACATACCTAAAGGCCATCAAAAATCAATAGTAGGAACTGGAGTGTGGCTTACTCTGCTGGAAGGCCTACAAGCAGGTGCCAGGTCATTAGGACCTTTGGAAACAGGCTGCTTGACATCACTCCCAGGCCCCGATAGAAACTGACAGCCACAATTGGGTGAGCAACAATGCAAAACTGCCACATGGAAGCTCTTTTAGATGGTTTCTATGGGAAACTCAGGTTTCCTTGGCCTACAGCCTTTTCTAGTCATTTGCCGTCATTCTGAGTTTTCTGGAGCACATCTGGGGCCTGAAAGCAGAAAGTTTTTGGCTAAGAAACATCTTCAAATTTTAATGTCTGATTGAAATCATCTCTGAAGTGAATGGGTTTAACCTTTATTTTTACCAAGACTCATGTATAGGTCTGGTAGACACAACCTTTTTTCCTGTCTGGAAGCACCTACTGAATTTCTGTCACAACAAATATTTCTCTGGCTCTTGTTTTCCACACATCACTAGTGCCCGCCTAACATGCAAAGGTGAGTCTGCCAGTGGGTAGCCTACAATTTAGCTGGGCAGACAGGACAAGCACTCCAGCAATAAAAGGCAATGCAATATGGGTGATAAGTTATTTACGCTAATGTTAATAATGCCCTCTCAAATCCCTCTCTCCTCCCACACAATGGTAGCCATTTTGTCCGGTGGCTTATAAGAGAGGATATGTGAGAATGTCTAGAGACTTTTTTTTTTTTTTTTTTTTTTGTAGAGACAGGGTCTCACTATGTTGCCCAGGCTGGTCTTCAACTCCTGGTCTCCCACCTCTGCCTCCCAAAGTGTTGGGATTATGGGTGTGAGCCACCTTGCCAGCCCCAGAGATACTTGTGATTGTCACAACTTTGTGAGGTGGTGCTTTGGGCTTCCAGTGGGTAGAGGCCAGAGATGCTACAAAACATCCTACAATGCACAGGACAGCCCCCACAACACAGCATTATCTGACCCCAGACGGCAATAGTGCCAAGGTTGTGAAACCCTTTTTGAGCCCTTTGCCTATTTGTATATATCCAGATGTGATGAAAGTTGCTAACATCTCCTGAGAGCTTTCTATATTTTAGGTACTGGAATCATTGAATCTTCACCACAACCTTCTAAGGTTGCTACTACTATCATTGACCATAATTTACATGTAAAGAAACTTTAAATAAATTGCCCAAATTCACACAGCTGGAAAATGGTGGAGCTGGAGTTTGCACAGAGAACCCAGTCCATCTGTGTCATTGGAGCTTAGCTGCAGGGAAGAGAAGACCGGGGCCACCTGTGTCAGTATGATTCTGGTTGTTCTTCTAAACAAATTTCCCCTGGGATGAGACTGTAAACCAATGAGTAACTTTATTATTTGCATCAGGACATTTCTGCGGATCGGTTTATTGAAGACAACATCAAAGTGTTCGCCAAACAACAGTCTACCTGTCAAGCCTCACGTCACCACTCTTGCCTTGCTGTGCCCACCAATCCTGAATGATTGGATCACAAACTGCCCAATCCAAGTCAATCCTGTCGTGAAAAATGCCTTAGATCATTTGAGCCCAGACCCTACAGGGTCCTGTAATTATGCTGCTTCTGACTCCGGGCTCTGAGACATGACTAAGACTCTGTCAAGACAGATTCTCCTTTACTGCGTAGGGTTCTAATAAATGTAACTTTGCTTTATAAATGGGTTATCCGGTGATATTTTGGGAGCTCAATAGCACCAAGCTGTCTAAACTCAAGACCCTCTGCTTTTTGCCATTTGCTATGCTGTTTGCTAGTACGGCTTTTATTTTAGTTCAAATCAGATAACACTATACATATTATCCCACGATTTGCTTTTAAAAATGTTTACTGGATTTTAGAAACTTTTAATTGTCAGTTAATACCAACCACCTCACCTGCCCCCTCCTCTTCCCCCCAGGGATACATAATATTTAACAGAATTGACATACACATCTTAATTGATTTTTCCAGTTCCTTGCAGATGGAAATGTAGGTTGTGGCTACTCTGCCTATGGAGTAGCCATTTTATAATTCATTTACTTTTTTTTTTTTTTTTTAATACAAAGTCTTGCTCTGTCGTCCAGGCTGGAGTGCAGTGGCGCAATCTCAGCTCACTGCAACCTCCACCTCCTGGGTTCAAGTGATTCTCCTGCCTCAGCCTCCTGAGTAGCTGGGATTACAGGCAGGCGCCACCAAGCCTGGCTAATTTTTGTATTTTTAGTAGAGAGGGGTTTCAGCATGTTGGTCAGGCTGGTCTCGAACTCCTGACCTCATGATCTGCCTGCCTCGGCCTCCCAAAGTGCTGGGATTACAGGCGTGAGCCACTGCACCTGGCCAGTTCATTTACTTTTTTAATAAACTTGCTCTTACTTTACAAAAAACAAAAAAAGAAGTGTAGGTTGTTTTCATTTCTTTGATTACAAATAATATCACAATGTAACCCAATGTTGTATTCACATTCAAGTATTTCTTTTTGTCCAAAAGCCAAATATTTTATTTTTTAAGATTGACAAATAAAAATTGCTTGTATTTATCATGTACAGTATTTATGTTTTGAAATATGTATACATAATGGAATAGGTAAATAAAGCTAAGTAACATGTACATTACCTCACATACTTACATTTTATTTTTTGCAGTGAGAACACTTAAAATCTCCATGTGACCCAGCAATCCCATTACTGGGTATATACCCAAAGGATTGTAAATTATTCTACTATAACAACACATGCACACCTATGTTTGTTGCAGTGCTGTTCACAGTGGCAAAGACTTGGAACCAACCCAAATGCCCATCAATCATAGACTGGAAAAAGAAAATGTGGCACATATACACCATGGAATACTATGCAGCCATAAAAAAGGATGAGTTCATGTCCTCTGTGGGGACATGGTTGAAGCTGGAAACCATCATTCTCAGCGAACTAACACAGGAACAGAAAACCAAACACCACATGTTCTCACTCGTAAGTGGGAGTTGAACAATGAGATCACATGGACACAGCGAGGGGAACATCACACACTAGGGCCTGTTGGGGGGCGGGGGGCTGGTGGGAGTAGCATTGGGAGAAATACCTAATGTAGGTGACGGATTGATAGGCGCAGCAAACCACCATGGCACGTGTATACCTATGTAACAAACCTGCACACTCTGCACGTGTATCCCAGAATTTAAAGTATAATAAAAAAAAAAAGAAGAAGAAAAAATAAAATTAAAAAAATGCTCTTTTAACAGGAAAATGGCTTTGTTTTTAAAACTAATGGGATGTTTCGTGCTGTTTAAGTAAAAGAAAGCAATTAAAATTGGAACACACAAATAAAAATTAAGGTAGTAAGTAGAGGTATTTGACTGTACCTTGACCATGGCTACTTCACTGGTGAGGAGACCATAATGGATAACAACGTTACATTCTTTCATATCCAGACCTTCTTCTGCCACTGTGGTAGAGATAAGCAGTTTTATTTTTCCAGTAAGAAATGTACTAATGACTTCTTTGTGTTAATTCTGTAGAAACATTTTAATAAATTTTGTAATACTAAACACATTAAAGTCTTCTAATAAAAAAATAAAGTCTACTCAGCAATTTTCAAGAATACAATACATTGCATTGTATTATGTTGTAGTTCAATATAGCTACTACAGTAATTAGGTATATGCATCTATATTCAATAGCTCTCTTGAATTTGTTCCTTCTGCCTACCTGACATTTTGTATTCTTTGATTAACATCTCTCCAATCTCCATGGCACCTCCACCATTAGCCTCTGGTAAACACTGCTCTATCCTCTGCTTCTATGAGTTCAACTCTTTTAAATTCTACTAATAAATGAGATCATGTGGTATTTGTCTTTCCGTGTCTGGCTTATTTCACTTAATGTAATGTTCTCCAGGTTCATCCTTGTGGCTGCAAATGACAAGATTTCTTTCTTTTTAAAGGCTGAATAATATTCCATTGTGTGTGTGTGTACCACAGTTTCTTCATCCATTTATGTGTTGATGGACACAGGTTGATTCTGTACCTTGGCTATTGTGAACAATGCCACAATGAACATGAGAATACAGACATCTCTTCAACATGCCAATTCCACATCCTTCGGATAGATAACTAGTTGGGGGGGTCCTAGATCATATAGTAGCTCTATTTTTAATTTTATGAAGAACCTCCATACTATTTTCCATAATGGGGGTACTAATTTACTTCCCCACCAACAGCATACAAGGGTTTCCTTTCTCCTGCATCCTCACCAGGATGTTACCTTTCATCTTTTGTATGATAATCATTGTAACAGATATGAAGTGATACCTGATTGTGGTTTTAATTTGCATTTCCCTGGTGATTAGAGAATTGGCCTTTTTTTTTTAAAGTTTTCAAATACCTGTTGGAAATCTGTAAATCTTCTTTTGAGAAATGTCTATTCAGGTCCTTTGTCCTTTTCTTTTTCTTTTTTCTTTTTTTTTTTTTTTTTTTTGAGATGGAGTCTCTCCCAGTCACCCAGGCTGGAGTGCAGTGGTGCGATCTTGGCTCACTGCAACCTCCGCCTCCCGGGTTCAAGCGATTCAGGTGCCTCAGCCTCCTGAGTAGCTGGGATTACAGGTTTGCACCACTATGCCCTGCTAATCTTTTGTATCTTTAGTACAGATGGGATTTCACCATGTTGGCCAGGTTGGTCTCAAACTGCTGACCTCGTGAACCGCCTGCCTCAGCCTCCTAAAGTGCTGGGATTACAGGTGTGAGTCACTGCGCCCAGCCTATTCAGGCCATTTGCCCATTTTTAAATTTTGTTACTTGTTTTCTTCCTATTGAGTTGTTTGAGCTCCTTATTTATTTTGAAAATTAACCCCTTATCAGATGTATGGTTCACAAATATTTTCTCCCATTCTGGAGGCATCTCTTCACTTTGTCAATTGTTTCCCTTTGTGTGCAAAAGTTTTTTAGTTTGATGTAACACCACGTGTAAACTTTTACTTTTGTTGCCTATGCTTTTAGGGTCATATTCAAAAAATTATTGCCCGGGCCAATATCATAGAGCTGTTCCCCTATATTTTCTTTTAGTAGTTTTACAGTTTCAGATCTTATATTTAAGTCTTTAATCCATTTTGAGTTGATTTTTGTATTGGTGTGAGAGGAGGGTCTAATTTCATTATTTGAAATGTGGATACACAATTTTCCCAACACCATTTATTGAAGATGTGGTCTATTGTGTTCTTGGCACCTTTGTTGAAAATTAACCATAAATGTGTGGATTTATCTCTAGGCTCTTCGTTCTGTTCCATTGATTATGTGTTTTTATGCCAGCACTATGCTGTTGTTTTTTTTAAAGTTTTATTTTGTTTTTATTGGCACATGATAATTTATTGGCACATATTTACAGGGTACAGTATGATGTTTTGATATATGTATACATTGCATACTGATCAAATTTGGGTAATTAGCATATCCATCACCTCAAACACTTGTCATTTCTTTGTGGTAAGAACATTCAAAATCCCCTCTTCTAGCTATTTTGAAATACACACACATTACTGTTAACTCTAGTCACCCCACTCTGCAATAGAACAGCAGAACTTATACCTCCTATCTAACTGTAACTTTGTGTCTGTTAACCAATCTCCATCCAGTTTCCTTTTTCCCTTATCCTTCTCGGCCTCTGGTAACTACTCTTCTACTTTCTACTTCTATAAGATCAACTTTTTTAGATTCCACATACAAGTGTGATCATGCGGTATTTGTCCTTCTGTGCTTGGCTTATTTTAACTTATCAACTTCAGGCTCACATTTCAGTATTTGTATGACTTTGACTTTACTTTGACATATAATTGCCAGGTCAAGTCTTGTAAATTTTAAATTTAAATATTGTTTTCAAATGGTCCTCCAAGTTGTTGTTATTAATTTAGCAGTGGGGGATGAGAATGTTTCCCCTTATTCTTCCCAGCACCTGAGAAATTGGGGCACAGTTACAACTAAGCAATAGTTGACTGTTATTACATGGAAATTTATGCCTGGTGGTAAAAGTTATAATTTTTCAAAAGAAGCTGAAATTCAGACACTTTAAGTAAAATCTCCTGATTTTTTAATGTTGTCAATAAACATTTTCTACAAGCCTGTTTCAACCTGCATGCCACCAGTTTGCAAACTCTGGAGAAATTGATATTGAAGAGATTGCTTGAGATCAATTGCAAATTCTAGAGGAGTTGATCCAACCAGACACAGGACAAGTCATGACGAGGCAGTAAATTAGACAGTCAAGTACACAGGTTGGACCTATTGTTTCCCTAGAGCACATATTTCTAGCTACTCTAGGGTAAAATGTGTGTTTCTCAGGCTGGGTTGAGCATCTCAGGTGAGCTTGGAAGTCATACTAAGGTCATATTTCCCTATAGTATCCATTCATAACATGGACTGCAACTGCTAGAACAGTTGGAAGCAAGCACCTGAGGCAGCTCAAGTGCAGGGAGGCCCTCCCTGTGGAGCTATCGACTCTTCTCAAGGAACAATTAAGAAACTGTTGAAGAAAAGGATAAAGAGGGCGCCTACCCACAGGTTGTTTGCTGGGGGACCCAGGGATCCCAATGATCTCTGCCACCCCCAGACATCTTTTTTTTTTTCTTTTTTTTTTTTGAGACGGAGTCTTGCTCTGTTGCCCAGGCTGGAGTGCAGTGGTGGGATCTTGGCTCACTGCAACCTTCGCCTCCCGGGTTCAAACAATTCTCCTGCCTCAACCTCCCGAGTAGCTGGGACTACAGGCACACGCCACCACACCCGGCTAATTTTTTGTATTTTAGTGGAGATGGGGTTTCACCATGTTGGCCAAGCTGGTCATGAACTCCTGACCTCAGGTGATCCACCCACCTCGGCCTCCCAAAGTGCTGGGATTACAGATGTGAGCTACCGCGCCTGGCCCAGATATCTTAGGAGAACCTGAAAATGCCAACAAGTCTTGAGCGGGACTCATTGCAATTTCTCCTGCATTTCTCATCTTGGTAAATGTCATCATCACTCAACCAGAAAAAAAAGACCACTAAGGTGTTTCACACCTCTATGTTATTTCTATCTTGCAATGAATTTTGGTCTCCACCTGGGTGGAGAATTCCTGCTTGCCCTTCACGGGTCAGCTTAAATGTTATCTCCTCCAAGATACCTCCCAAACTGTATTTGTTGTGGTGTTACTTTCTCCCCACTCTGTTTTCCCACAGTATTTTAAAATGCTCTCTTAAAATACTTATCTTTCTCTATTGCAGTGTTCTGCTTACCTCTTTATCTTCCTAACTAATCTCCTCAAGGAGCAGTCAGCACCTCGAGGAAGGTTTTACCTGATTCATTTACAGATGCTTCCCCCATAGCAGGTACCCAACAAATGCTTGTTTGTGGCAGTTTTTACATAGGCCCACAAATTATTTGACATTTCTTCTATAAAGTGGTAGAGTCTGTGTTCCTTCCCCTGAAACTGGGAAGGTTTGTGTGACTGTTTCAATCAATAGAATATATGGCTGGGCATGGTGGCTCATGCCTGTAATCCCAGCACTTTGGGAGGCCGAGGCGGGTGGATCACCTGAGGTCAGGAGTTTGAGACCAGCCTGACCAACATGATGAAACCCCGTCTCTACTAAAAATACAAAAATTAGCCAGCCATGGTGGTGGGTGCCTGTAATCCCAACTACTCAGGAGGCTGAGGCAGGAGAATCACTTGAACCTGGGAGACGGAGGTTGCAGTGAACTGAGATCATTCCATTGTACTCCAGCCTGGGTGACAGAGCGAGACTCCATCTTAAAAAAAAAAAAAAAATGTAGAATATAGTAAAAGTGAGATTATGTGACTTTTGATGCTGGATTATAGAAGTTGATGCAACCTCCACCTTGCTCGCTGAAACATTTGTTTTAGAAGATTTTAGCTGTTATATAAGCAGTTCAAACACCATGAGACCACCATGCTATGAGGAAGTCTAAACTAGCTCAATAGAAAGAGACCACACAGAGAAATTCTGAAACGAGTGGAAAGAGGGAGAGAGAGAGAGAGAAATCCAACCAGCCCTAACTGCTTCAGGCTTCATACCCTGCTTTCTGAGGCTAACCACCATCTGACTATAACTGCATGTGATACTCAGTCAGAAATGCCCAACTGACCTTTTTCTAATTCCTGACCCACAGGGTCCATGAGAAATATTAAAATAATTGTTGCTGTTGTAAGCTACTTGTTTTGGTGGTGATTTATCGCACATCAAGAGGTAATAGGAACAGAATTTTGTACCTCTAAGTGGGCTGCTGCATTGATTCTGCCTTTGGGACTGGGTGGGGGAAGAAGACGTTGAAAGAGCCTCAAGGAGAATCTTAGCAGAAGTCTGACAGGGCTTGAGGAGGCTGTCAGTGAAGGGTTAAATGAGAGAAGGAGAGAGTTAGAAACTGGAGGAAAGCAGACCTTTTTTATAAAGTAGGGAAAATT